AGGGCCGTTTAGCAAATTTCACGGCCCGCCCAAAAGATTGCAACGCGCTAGCATCTATTAGACGCGACATTAATAGTTTACGTTCCTAAATATGGGTGGGTATTTAATGCGACCCAAATCCAAATCCTAATGCCCAGTAGCGGGTGGGCGTTGTAAGATTCGGAATTCGAGTTTTGAGTTAGGTAGCGGGTCTTAAAATAAAAGGTTCACCCTTTTGTTTGGATCCGGACTTGAATTTAATGCCCGATTTCTAAATTTTTAAACGACGTTCATTTGTCAAATAAATTCAACAAAAGCGGTTAAAGATATAATTGGCACACAGGCTCTTCATGTAGTTAAATCAGATAATTAGCTAAATGCAACAGTTGAGTGACCGTGCTAGAACCACGGAACCCGAGAATGCCTAACACCTTTTCTCGGGTTAACAGAATTCTTTATCCGGATTTATGGCTTGCAGATTGTAATACAGAGTGAATTCTTTCCTCGGTTCGGGATTAAAACTGGTGTCTTGGGACACCATTAATCTCCTAAGTGGCCACTCTGAATAATTAATAATAAATCCCGTTCCGATTGTCACTTAAAGTGGAAAAACTCCTTTACGTCCCTTGCGGATGTAGTGAAAAAGGAGGTGTGACAGCTCTGGCAACTCTGTTGGGGACAAGAACCCAGAACGTTTTGTTCAGGGTTCAGAATGCGAGCTTAGAATAATTGTTGTGTTTGGCTTTATCTGATTTTGTTACATAATATGTGCTTAATGTGCTAGTTGACTGCTTTTACCGCTTTGATATTACGTGAACTGTATATAAACTGTGCCGAACTAAATCTCCTCTTTGAGTCTTCTAAATCATGAATAAGTTACTTCGGGCGGCTTCTTTTCTGTATAGTGTCTAATTCCAATTTAGAACGAGGTCTGGATAGGTCACAAAACTGGTGAAGCTTCTGTATTCCCAGATTGCCGCCTCCCTCCTCGGCTCGAGTTGTTCGCTCGGGTAAGCCAGGTCTAGAACAAACACCCAGGTTTTGAACCTAGAATAACTCAACTTCATGCCGGATCCCTAGTAGGAACGCTTATCTGATTCATGTGCATTTTGACTTAGGGGACTCAACACAGGGGTTGGGTCTGTCTAGGAATAGCAACCTGAAACAGAAAAGACCATCTTGATGCATCCTACATGTGTTCTGTGCATTTATTTATTTCGGACCCGCATGTTGACCGGCTTTGAATCTCGGAAAGGTTAGAAAATGAGGAAAAGAGAAAAAGAAAGGAAAAATAGTAATTCGGAGAGTTGATTGATTAGTTCAGAAAAACCCATTGTCCAAGTGCTGTCAAAACTCTGCCGAAATTTTGGAAAATGAAAAAAAAAATATTTTTATAGTTTGTTCTACCAAATGCCAAAGAAAAATAGAAAAAAAGAGTTTTTTTTTTTTTTTAAAACTGTCAGAAAAATAGAAAAAAAAGGGGTTTTATTATTTCAAAAATAGAAAAAGCTTGAAAAAGAGTTTTGTTTTAAAATTTTAGTTAGCTTATTTGCCCGAAGTACGCCGGTTTTGATTCTCACAGGGTGTGGGATACGTAGGGAACCCTCATCGGGTCCAACCCTTTGCTTTTACAAAAATAACCAAAAATGTCAAAAATTGTAGTTTGTGTGAGGTGATGCTGTTTTTGCAAAAATAGCCGAACGTTCCCAAATGGAACGCCGGAAGGCTGACCTTGCATCAATGGCCACTTTTGGTCATGTTTTGATTTTTGACCCTCACAGCCCTAAATTTTCGTCCCCGAGATGTGGAAAGGCCGTGTTTGCAGTTTCGGGTCTTTTATTTTCAAGAAAAGAGTTGAGTAAGGCCGTTTTGTCATAAATAGCCGAATGTTCCCAAAAGGGACGCCGGAAGGCTGAATTTGCATAAATGGCCATTTTTGGTCAATTATGAGTTTTGATTGGTTGACATACACCACCTTAAAATCTTCCTTTCTGAAGTGCTGAAAGGCCGTGTTTGAAAATCAAACCTTTCATTTTCACATTTGAAAACACACAAAAACAAAATATAGATAGCTTTTTTTTGTTTTTTTTTTGTTTTGAGTCGAATAAAAGTTTTTATTTTGCTTAATCGCCTTAATAAATGTGCAGTATGAGCACAAATCAATTTGAACCATTCTCAGACTTTAACGAGGTCCCGTTACAGCTCCACATGTGGTGGAATGATTTGGGAGGTGGTAGTAAGAGGATAGTGGAAAGAGTTCTGGGAGGTGTCGTCAATCTACTAAATATCAAGCCAAGAGCAGACATCATTGAAGCTTTAATACCGTTCTGGGACCCAACTCGTAATGTATTCCGATTTACAGACTTTAAGCTTACACCTACACTAGAAGAGGTTGCGGGATATGCGGGTTTGAACGGAAAATTGAGGGGACAATATCTGCTTTCACCTAGGCTGGTGGTTCCACATGGGTTTTTGGACTTGCTGAATATTAGTCGAAACGTGCAAAATAAGGATTTGTCGAGAGGTTACTGCGCTCTTCAGTTCTTATATCAGCGGTATGGTACCACTCATAGTTTTGAAGACCCAAACCTTGGAGTTACTCATGCTGGAGACAGAAACAAATGGGAGGCAAAACGTACTCTAGCATTCCTGACAGCATTCCTAGGAATCATGGTTTGTCCACGCAAAGATAAGAACATAGAGATAGTCCTTGTGGGAATGGCCGACACTACAATCAAAAAGCCCAACAGTAATGCGGTCCCTTTGGTGTTAGCTGAGATCTACCGAGCCTTAACTGTGTGTTAGGAGGGAGGCAAATTCTTTCAAGGTTGCAATCTATTACTCCAACTATGGATGCAGGAAGATCTCTGTCATCGGGTAGGATATATGGATCACGGGTTGACCGGGAGAAATTGCATAAGTGGTTTCGAAAAGCGGGTGACAGGTATGATATTCCCCGAGGGTGCTAAAGCATGGTTCGCGCATTTGAGGACATTGAAAACTAGTCAAATTAAATGGATGGCTGCCCGACACTGAGGTAATACACATGGCGTTCGAAGAATGCCACATTCTTTTGATGGGAGCTCGCAGTATTCAGCCTTATGCTCCTCATCGAGTGTTACGCCAGCTAGGAAGGTTTCAGACAATTCCCACCGATACAAATCTAAGCAGACACGCCGTTGAGTTAAGCCCGGGAGCCACGCTCCCCGAAAAGGGTGTTCGGAAGCTGTGGAATGAGTGTAGATTTCTTGAGGCAAAGACTATGGTTCTGGAGCCGGCTAAGGGGAAGTAGACCCAAAGTATGATGCTTGGTTCGGGAAAAGATTTTAGATCCAGAGGCCCGTTAAAAGATCCCACATCCAACAATTTACAGATGATTCCCAAGAACAGTGGGGCTGGTTGGCAAAAGAGGAGAACTATCGGGCCGAAATTGGCAAACTAAAGCAACAAATTGCAAGTCCAACTTTCAAAAATAGTATGCAAGTCGCCGCAAATCAGGGCAAAAAGAATAAATTGGCTCAAGAAAATGAGAAGCTCAAAGCCCAAATTCAGCAACTGAGGATAGCCGCCGATAGCCAACAAAGGAGTAGATCAGATGAGAGATTGATAAGAAATTTGAAAAATGAAGTCAACGAGCATCGACATGAGTTGGAAGAACTCAAGGCGCAATGGAATAAAAGGTCGAAAGGGCGCTACCAGTATCTTCAACAATTGAAAAAAGACCATGAGAAGGTTGTGGCCGACCAACAGCGAAAAGTGGTTGCTCTTGAAAGTAAAGTGGAGAAACAGGCTAGAAGCTTCGAAATCGAGAGTGGGCATTGTTATGATTTGCTAGCGCAAATGGAAGTAGAGGTGCAACAGATGCAAGATCAGCACATCCAAGATTCTCAGGCAGTGAAAACATGCAGTGACCAGATAGGGCGCCTGATTACAGAGAAAAGGCAAGCAAGAAATAGGATAAGAGCTATTGGTCATTCCATTTTGAGGAGAGTCGGGCATATGAAGAAATTAATTTGTCCACTTTCGTCCAGGCAGTAATGATATATGTGAAAAGAACTATGAGTGATCTAGAGCAACTTGAGCATGATTTGGCACCTAGGCGTGCAGCGAGGCCGAACGACGCCCCGCAAGCACCTAGATTTGAAGCACTAGAGTATTCATAGGGTGTGTCCGTACTTTTCTTATTTTGAGTCTGTTTGTCCAAGTGAGTCCGTAGTTTGACGTTGATAGTTTGGTATTTGGTATTTGAAGTCTGTTCTTAAAGTGAGTTTGCAGTTTGAAGTTTGTGTCTGTTGTTTCCTTTCGCAAATGTTTAGTTTGTAATAATTTGTTAGTAATGAGAAATTGAAAATTCCCAAAAAATTGTTTTCATTTTATTTTCGCATTTATTTTCACGAACTACGCTTGGTCTGATTCGTGCGGGGTCACGATACGTAGGCAATCTCCATAGGATTCGACCGTAATCTTGAGCAAAAGGAGAAAATAAAAGAAGTAGGAGAAAAGGAAAAGAAAGAAAGAAAAGAGTGGAAAAACAAAAGCGAGAACAAAGGGGAAAAAGAAGGAAAATAAGAGCGCAACAACAAAGGTGAGAGGAAAGAAAAGAGAAAGAGAAAAAATAAAGTAAGGAATGCCGGGATGATACATGTGGGCGAACGAATGCATAATAGAAATGATTAACTGTATAGGTGCATTCATGCCAACGTGCGGTTATCAAATCTATTAAAGCATAATCGCTAATGAAGTGGTTGTTTAAATGTATGAGTTCAGGCAGGTGGTTAGTTGATTGGCAATTCTGGCAACTCATCAGTACAACACCCGATCAAAAGATAAAGAAATGACTGGACAGGAGTTGGATACTACTATTGTGGACCCCACGAAAGAGGTTGAAGTGACAGATGTAGGGGCTATGAAAGAGGAAATGAGGAAGTTGAAAGCCCAAATGGAGGCCATGCACTAGGCTTGGTCTCAGGGGCACCCAACGCCAGTATACCACGCTAATCCCGCTTATATTCCCCCCCACAATGTCGGCTCAGGAGTCTCCTATTCCCGAAACATCTCCACCCTTCCACTGTAACACCCAGGGGTATGCCACTACTTCGTACGCCCCTCCAGCTCCACCCCCCAAACAGAACCCTCCTCCGCCCGTGGCTCCAATCTTTGTGGCTCCCGCTCCAGCTCCATTACAAAGGTCCTCGAGTGAACCATTCTTCCAAGCCCATGGCGGTCAATATTACCCGCCTGAGCCCACCTTCAGAGCTCTTGAGCCGTACTCATATAGCCCACACTTCGAGATCCCAGAAGCAGTAGATAAACCAGCCAAAAATGCTGAGCATGAGGAAGTGATCAGAAAATTCAAAAGCCTGGAGCAATCCTTCCGGAACATGCACGGGTTGGGCAGCCAAGTCAGTGTTGCTTACAAAGATCGATGCCCGTTCCCTGACGTCCAACTGCCCGCAGGATTCAAAATGCCCAAATTCGACTTGTATGAGGGACACGGTGACCCAGTGGCCCATCTTCGGGGATTTTGCAGTAAAATGAGAGGTGCCGGGGGAAAAGACGAGTTGCTAATAGCATACTTTGGTCAGAGTCTGAGCGGGTTTGGATTGGAATGATACACAAGACAGGACCCTAGCCGGTGGTATACTTGGGATGATTTGGCCCAGTCATTCATCAATCATTTTCAATACAACCTCGAAATAGTTCCAGATCGTCTGTCATTGCTGAAATTTGAGAAGAAGCCAGGAGAAAGTTTTAGAGAATTTGGTTTCCGACGGAGGGAACAAACTTCCAGGGTAGATCCTCCAATGAGGGAGAACGAGACGGTGGACTATTTTTTGCAAACCTTGGAGCCGACGTACTTCGAACATCTAGTGACGTCTGTGGGGAAATCTTTTAATGAAGTGCTGAAGATGGGCGCCATGATCGAAGAGGGTCTAAAGTCTAACAAAATCCTGAGTTATTTAGCATTGAAAGAAACCACACAGGCCATACAGAGCCGCACTAGTGGTGTGTTGGGAAAGAAGAAGAAAGAAGAAGTGGCTACAGTGGAAACCGGCACCTGGTCCAGGTGTAACAACCCTCCACCTTACTATAGCCAACCTAGACCCCACTCCTCAAATTACCCATATACTACATATAGCCCACCCCAATATTACTACCCGCCACCAGAACCACACTTCTCAGTTCACCATGCCCAAATGTATACCCAGCCTCCGGCGCACCCCCAATGGCGTGCACCGGCACCCCAAAACACATATACTCCCCCACAAAACACCCATCTACACCCCAGGGCTAACAGACCAGGACCTGGCTTCCGTCCGAATCAAGCTTTTCAGAATGAGAAGGCCCCTAACAGAAGAAATTTTACCCCATTAGGAAACTCTTACACGGCCATATTCCATAGGTTGAAACATATGGAGATTTTAGCCCCAATCGAGCCTAAAGTACCAAACCCACCTCCCAGAAACCTGGACCAGTCTGTTAGTTGTGAGTATTGCTCGGGAATGCTGGGGCATGCGACTGAGAAATGTTGGAAGCTGAAAAATGTAGTGCAGTACCTTATTGATAACCATCGTATTGAGGTGCAGGCGCCGGAGGTGCCAAACAATAATCAGAATCCACTGCTAGTACATTATGAGACCAATATGATTGAGCTAGTGCACAAGGATGGGGAAATGCAGAAGCCATCACAAACCGTGATGATGATTCGCGCTGTGGAAACTAGCTCAAAAGAAAAGCTGACTAGGATACATTCGTGGGTGAAGTTGAAAGGTGCAAGTGATAAACCAGTGATAGTAATAGGAAAAGAATTGTTCGTCATTGCAAAGAAACTGGAACTGGCCAAGCTTGTGGTAAAAGGGGCATCATCTGCGCCCGTGGCTTATGTGAAAGGGGCCTACATAGAGCCGGTAATCATCAAACTGGTGGTCCAGTTACCTGTGGTTGATAGCAAGGCTGTGCCGTGGAAATACAAAAAGGTAGTTGTGACCTATAAAGGGAAGGAAATTGAGGAAGAGAGTTGTGAGGTGCAGAGGTTGACTCGGTCGGGGCGTTGCTTCGCTCCCGAAGAGTTGAGAAAGGCTAGGGCTACTAAAGACAGTCCAGCGCAGGTTAAAAAGGCCGTCACAGAAGAGGAAGCAGAAGAATTTTTAAGAAAAATGAAAGTACAAGATTATTCCATTGTCGAACAACTGAGAAAGACGCCTGCTCATATCTCGTTATTGTCACTATTGATTCACTCTGATGAACACCGTCGGGCTTTGATGACGATTTTAAATGAAGCTCATGTGCCTGATAAGATTTCAGTGAACCATTTGGAGACCATTGCTACCAAGATGTTTGAAGTGAACACGATAATGTTCTCGGATGATGAGTTACCCATAGAAGGAACAACGCATAATAGAGGCCTTTACTTGACAGTCAAATGTGAAGATTCGGTGGTGACCAGGGCGTTTATTGATAATGGGTCTAGTGCCAACATTGTTCCGATGTCCACCCTGAACAAGCTAAAGATTGATAATGATCGAATCCGCAGGAACAATGTATGTGTTTGAGGGTTTGACGGCGGTGGAACGGGCACAGTAGGAGACATCATACTTGAGTTGACTATCGGTCCAGTTGAGTTTACCATGGAGTTCCAAGTGTTGGATGCTGTGGTATCATACAATATTTTGCTGGTACGATCATGGATTCATGCGGCTAAAGCAGTACCCTCTTCCCTACACCAAATAGTCAAGTTTGAATGGGATCGACAAGCGGTGGTGCTACACGGAGAAGATCCCTCAAGCTCTGCAAGTAATGCTATTGAGCCCTTCGTAGAAATTGATGACAATAAGGGGCCATGGGTGTATCAGGTTTGCGACATGATCACTGTGAACAAGGTGTCAGTAGGAAAAAGCATTCCAACTCCCAGGATAGCAGCTGCAACCGTTATGGTGGTTTCGGAGATGATGGGCAATAGTTTCGTACCGGGAAAGGGTCTGGGGGTCGAGTTACAGGGTATTTTGCAACCTGTCACTTTGACCAAGAACTTAGACACGTTTAGACTGGGTTTCAATCCAACGGCGGCTGATATCAGAAGGGCCCGCAAGATGAAAAAGAGAGTCTGGGTGCTCCCCAAGCCAATCCCATGCCTGTCCAGGTCATTTGTTCGACCGAGTGACAGGAAGCAGTCTACAACAAAGTTGTCGGGTTCACTGATCAGTGCAGAGGGAAATTTGAGTAAGGTATTTGAAAAGGTGTTCGATGAGGTGAACGCGGTCGAGGCCAGTAAAGGTTCGAGTAGTGCAGATATCCAGTACGTTGGGCCAAACGTCATGATCAATAACTGGCAAGTCACTCCCCTGCCAGTTCGGAGGGTGTCGCGGTAGTGAGATCTGGTTTTCTTTCTTTTGTTTTCACCTGGATTATTCCAGGGTTTGTAATCCTCGTGACTATGTTCCGTCCGTTTGGATGAGCTAAGCCTTGCTATCTCTATATTTTAATGAAATGCAATTTTTTTTCCTTCTAATTTTTGTTTCCATTTTTGTTTTCTTGTTCTGTACAGTTCTTTTTATGCCGATATCAATGACATGACATGCATGAGGACTTCTCGGCCCAGTCTTATAAGCCAACTTAACTCACATATAATAATACAAGAAATTGAATGTGATGATGATGAGGAATATGATGATGATGAGGCTTATGAATAGATTAGTAAGGAATTAAAACACTTTGAGGAAAAACCCAAACTGAACTTAAATGACACAGAAGCAGTTAATCTTGGGGACCAAGATAATGTTCGTGAAACTAAAATAAGTGTTCATCTGGAGCCGCAGCTCAAGGAAGAAATAATCGTGACATTGTTGGAGTATAAAGATGTTTTTTTCTTGGTCCTACGATGATATGCAGGGTTGAGTACCGATTTGGTGGCTCACAAACTTCCTACTGATCCATCACTTCCTCCTGTTAAGCAGAAATTGAGAAAGTTTAAAACAGACATGAGTGTGAAGATTAAAGAAGAGATTACCAAGCAGTTCGATGCAAAAGTCATACGGGTCACGAGGTACCCCACCTGGTTAGCTAATGTCGTGCCTGTACCAAAGAAAGATGGCAAAACCAGGGTGTGTGTTGATTATCGAGATCTTAACAAGGCGAGTCCAAAAGATGATTTTCCCTTGACAAACATCCACATATTGATCGACAATTGTGCCAAACATGAGATTGGTTCTTTTGTGGATTGTTATGCGGGTTACCATCAGATCTTAATGGACGAGGAAGATGCGAAAAAGACGACATTCATCACGCCGTGGGGAACATACTGCTATCGGGTCATGCCATTCGGTTTGAAAAATGCTAGGGCAACCTACATGAGGGCTATGACAACGATCTTTCATGATATGATACATAAAGAGATTGAGGCGTACATAGATGATGTAATTGTGAAATCAAGGCAGCAGTCTGACCATGTCAGAGATTTGAGGAAGTTCTTTCAAAGGCTTCGCAGGTATAATCTCAAACTCAATCCTACAAAGTGTGCTTTCGGGGTGCCATCTGGAAAGTTGCTGGGGTTTATAGTCAGTCGCCGGGGCATTGAATTGGATCCATCAAAGATTAAGGCCATTCAAGAATTGCCGCCTTCGAGAAACAAAACTAAGGTGATGAGTTTATTGGGAAGGTTGAACTACATCAACAGGTTTATTGCTCAACTCACAACCACTTGCGAGCCCATTTTCAAACTACTAAAGAAAGATGCTGCGGTTAAATGGACTGATGAATGTCAGAAAGCTTTTGATAAGATCAAGGGATATTTGTCGAATCCACCCGTGTTGGTTCCGCCGGAACCGGGTAGGCCTTTGATTCTGTATTTGACGGTCCTGGATAATTTGTTTGGCTGCGTACTGGGGCAGCATGATGTTACTGGCAGAAAGGAGCAGGCAATCTACTATCTCAGTAAGAAGTTCACATCCTACGAGGTCAAATATACGCATATAAAGAGGACGTGTTGTGCCCTAACTTGGGTGGCACAGAAATTGAAGCATTTTTTGTCGTCCTACGCTACTTATCTCATATCTCGGTTGGATCCACTGAAGTATATTTTCCAGAAGCCTATGCCCTCGGGAAGGCTTGCAAAGTGGCAGATCCTGCTTACGGAGTTTGATATTATCTATGTGACACGGACTGCAATGAAAGCACAGGCTTTGGCTGATCATTTGGCTGAGAATTCGATCGATGACGATCACGAGCCTTTGAGAACTTACTTCCCTGATGAAGAGGTGATGCATATTGATGAGTTGGAACAGGTAGAGAAACCAGGATGGAAATTGTTCTTTGATGGAGCGGCAAATATGAAGGGTGTGGGAATAAGAGCCATACTTATCTCTGAAACAGGTCAGCACTATCCTGTTACGGCCCAGCTTTAGTTTTATTGTACGAACAACATGGCGGAATATGAAGTATGTATTTTGGGGTTGAGATTAGCTATGGATATGGGTGTCCGGGAAGTCTTGGTCATGGGTGACTCGGACCTACCGGTACACCAAATTCAAGGAGAATGGGAAACACGGGATTTGAAACTGGTACCGTACCGACAGTGTCTGCATGAACTTTGTCGACGGTTCCAATCGATAGAGTTCAGGCACATCCCGAGGGTTCATAATGAGGTTGCTGATGCTTTGGCTACTTTGGCATCGATGTTACATCATCCAGATAAGGCTTATGTAGACCCATTGCAGATTTAGGTCTATGATCAAAATGCTTATTGTAATGTGATAGAAGAACTTGACGGTGAGCCGTGGTTTCATGACATCAAGGAATACCTCAGGATGGGAGTATATCCGGTACAGGCCACCGATGATCAAAAAAGAACTATTCGTCGATTACCAAGCAGATTTTTCCTGAGCGGAGGAGTATTATACAAAAGAACGCCAGACCTCGGACTGTTGACGTGCATGGATGCGAGGCAAGCCACGACTATCATGACTGAGGTACATTCTGGAGTCTGTGGACCGCATATGAGTGGATATGTTTTGGCAAAAAAGATCTTTCGAGCAGGGTATTATTGGCTTACTATGGAGCGGGATTGTATCAATTTTGTACGCAAATGTCATCCATGCCAAGTGCATGGAGATTTGATTCACTCCCCGCCATCAGAATTGCATACGATGTCAGCACCATGGCTTTTTGTTTCTTGGGGCATGGATGTTATCGGGCCGATTGAGCTAGCAGTGTCAAATGGTCACAGGTTTATTCTTGTAGCTATAGACTATTTTACCAAGTGGGTAGAATCTAAGATGTTCAAGTCCGTGACTAAGAAAGCTGTGGTGGATTTTGTGCATGCCAACATCATTTGTCGGTTTGGTATACCAAAGGTGACTATCACGGACAATGGGGCTAATCTCAACAGTCATTTGATGAAGGAAACATGTGAGCTGTTCAAGATTACTCATCGTCATTCTACGCAATATCGCCCTAAAGCAAATGGAACGGTTAAAGCGGCCAACAAGAACATAAAGAAAATACTGCGGAAGATGGTTGAAGGGTCTAGACAGTGGCACGAGAAATTTCCTTTTGCATTGCTGGGATATCACACCACCATTCGTACTTCGATGGGGGCGACTCCTTATTCATTGGTGTACGGAACCGAGGCCGTAATACCCGCAGAAGTGGAAATTCCGTCACTTCGAATCATTGTAGAAGCTGAGATCGATGATGATGAATGGATAAAGACTCATCTGGAGCAGAATAGTTTGATTGATGAGAAAAGATTAGCATCAGTGTGCCATGGTCAACTGTACCAGCGAAGAATGGCAAGAGCATATAACAAGAAAGTGCACCCGAAGAAGTTTGAAGTTGAACAATTGGTACTGAGGCGTATTTTACCTCATTGGGCTGAAGCAAAAGGAAAGTTCGCCCCAAATTGGCAGGGGCCGTTCGTTGTAACCAGAGTGTTGTCCAACGGTGCATTGTATATGACAAATGTAGAAGGAAAATGTGTAGAAATGACCATCAATTCCGACGCTGTCAAGAGATATTATGTATGATTTCTTTATTTTGAATGTACTTGCTTGTATTTGGCAAATTTTAAAGATTGAATGAAGAAGGCATTTTGTTCTGCTATCCAAACACTTTTATCCTTTGTTATCCCCTTTGAGCCTTACTTATTTTCGTTCATACCCCTCTTTAGGAATCAACAGTGCAATCAGAAACGCAGGTGCCAAACACAAAAAAATAAAAGAAGTAAAACAAATGGTAAAAGAAAAGAAAAAAAATAAGAAAAGAAAAGAGGAGGAAAGAAAAGAAAAGAAGAAAAAGAAAGGAAGAAAATAAAAATAAAAGAAGAAGGAAAGAAAAACAAGAGAAAAGAAAAATGAAAAGACAAAAGAAAAGAAAGTGAAAGGAGATAAAAGAAAGAATCACAACAAAAGTAATTACGATGAAGTGAACTACATTTGACTTTATCCCGAAAGGGTACGAAGGCAGCCTTACTCCGAGGTTCAGTCATACCAAAACAAAACTCCAAAAGTCCCCAAGCAAGAAACTGGGGCAGAAGTTGTGATCGTTGTGAGAGATTGGA